TGTAAAATCCTTTAAAGAGGAACTTTCTCCATGCTTTAATGATCAACCGTTAAAGTAATGGGAAAGGAACGGTATATATGCTTCGCTTAAATTAAGGAAGGATGATGATACGATAACTACCAAGTCATATCCTTATACTCCTGATGTAGAGAAAGAATTTAGCAAGCAAATATCGAAATTGCTGGAAAAGCAATTAATACGCATTAGTAAAAGCCCACACTCCTTGCCAGCATTCATGGTTATGTATAGAGCTAAGCGGGAAAAAGGAAAAGCGCGGATGGTTATCGATTATAGGCAATTAAATGATAAAACTATTGACGATGCCTATAAGATACCAAACAAATTAGCTTGTTTGAATAAGGCTAGATTTTGGAAAAAAAAATCTTCTCAAAATTGATCTAAAGTCAGGTTTCTGGCATATTAGAATGGAGGAGTCAAGCATTCCTTTGACGACTTTCACCTGTCCGAAAGGATTGTTTGAATGGATGGTTTTGCTTTCTGGGCTTAAGCAAGCACCATCAATATTCCAAAGGAAGATGGATAAGGTTTTTGGAGACTTATCTAACTTTTGTATAGTCTATATTGATGATGTTCTGGTTTTTAGTAAAACCAAAGAAGAGCATGTAAATCATCTTAGACTAGTAATCAAAAGGTTCCTTGATAATGGAATGATTCTATCTGAAAGAAAGGTAGAATGGTTTAAGAACAAGGTGTTCTTAGGCATTGAGATAAGTGAAGGAGGTATTCAACTTCAAGAACATATCTCGAAGAAATTGTTGGAATTTCTAGATGTGATTAAAGATAAGCACATGTTACAGCAATTTCTTGGATTAGCCAATTACATGTGCGAGTGTGTTCCTAATCTCGCTAATGTAATCAATGGCTTGACGCTTAAGCTTAGTGATAAAGTGACATGGGATTGGACACTTGAAGATACTAACTGTGTTAAGCGGACCAAAGTCTTGACAAAGCAATTAAAACTTTTAAAACTCTCAGAAGATGAGGATACGCTTATTATAGAAGGTGATGCGTGTCACTTGTACTGGGGAGGTATGCTTAAGGCTAAGGATACTGATAATATTGAACAAATTGTTCGATATGCGTCAGGAAAATTCTCTCCTGCTGAGATAAACTATCATGTTCATGAAAAGGAAGTTTTAGTAGCGAAAGAATGCATTGACCGATTTTGATTGTTTGTGATCAGTTAGGAATTTACTTTAAGGATAGATTCTAAATATTTAAAAACTTTTATGAAACTGTCTTTAAAGGATGACAAAGCTAGACTAATCAGATGGTTTGCAAATTTTATAATCAAATTTGAATATATTCTAGTAAATCTAACTTTGTTGCTGACTTTTTGTCCAAACATTTCTCTGAAGAACTACAGGATAATGGCGGATAAGAAGGAAACTGGAAATCACTTCTCATGCTCAAGTGTAGACAACGAGGACACTTGAGAAGGAATTGTCCCTTGAAGATAATTTCGGCTCCAAGGGTTACTGCTAAAAAGGAGAAAACTGCGGATAAGCAGGTAATCTCTACTCCTAAGCAGGTCACTGCAGCAAAACAGGTTAAAGAAGGAAAGAGTCAAGATTATGACTCTGATACTTCGGAAAGAAGAAACCTAAAACTTCAATGTTTGAAAGGTACTTCTACGAAGGAAATTACTTCTGAAAAAGAGGATACTCCTAAGAAGGAAAAACAAAAAACTCAGAAGAAAGCAATAGTTTGATGGTCTTGTAAACAGGAAGGACATGAACGAGCTTATTGTCCACTGCCAAAGACAAAAACTTCTAAGGATTCATCATCAGGCGCTACAAGCGTGGTGACTCCATACACTCCACAAAAAAAGCGGTTAATTGACGCGGATATCTATGAGAACTTTAGCTTTCCAGAAGGCTTAAGATTAACTTTAGTTTGTCAAACACTCTGGAAGGATTTGGAAACCCAAATTAGAATCGCATTGGCGACAGGACATGGGGAAGTGCAACTGCAGAGGTGTTTAGAGAAGCTAGCAAGAAGGTTAGCTTGGTTGGAAGCTGATAAACTGTTTTATGAGGACGAGGAGTTTGGAGGAACTGCTCTGCTTTATGAAGCAAGAATTCAAAAACTCGAGGTAATGAGAAAATGTCATTTGTTTGACATGGTAAATCTCGAACTCGAAAATTTGAATAATCTAATAGTAAAATTGGGAAAAACTGACTTGGCGGATTTGGTCCAAGGATTAGCAGTTTATCCTAATGGCGCTATGGAATTGTATATTCCATGGAAAATCTTTAGAAAGGGTTATTGCAAAAACCTTTTGGATAGAGGATGGATCGATACAATGGAAATTGAAGTACAAGAAGCGATGGTAGACCCAAATATGCCGAACGCAGTTAAGCAAATGTTCTGTGTCTTGAATCAAAAGGTCGACACTTTCACTTGCATGATTACTTCCTCATTGCAAGAGAGCTATAATGTTCAACCTGTACAGATATGGGAATTTCTTGTAGGAGAACCATGGTACCGAATTATGCTTGATAATGAGGTAAAAATGGGTTTATGGTTTCTGGCAGATTAGAATGGAGGAGTCAAGCATTCCTTTGACGGCTTTCACCAGTCCGAAAGGATTGTTTGAATAGATGGTTTTGCCTTTTGGGCTTAAGCAAGCACCATCAATATTCCAGAGGAAGATGGATAAGGTTTTTGGAGACTTATCTAACTTTTGTGTAGTCTATATTGATGATGTTCTGGTTTTTAGTAAAACCAAAGAAGAACGTGTAAATCATCTTAGACTTGTAATCAAAAGGCTCCTTGATAATGGAATGATTCTATCTGAAAGAAAGGTAGAATGGTTTAAGAACAAAGTGAAGTTCTTAGGCGTTGAGATAGGGTGAGATATTTAACTTCAAGAACATATCTAGAAGAAATTATTGGAATTTCCAGATGTGATGGAAGATAAGCATATGTTACAACAATTTCCTGGATTAGCCAATTACATGCGTGAGTATGTTCCTAATCTTGATAATGTAATCAATGGCTTGACGCTTAAGCTTAGTGATAAAGTGCCTTGGGATTGGAATAGCAACAATAGAGTTAAGCTAATTAAATAATAATAAGGTCCATCATAACTAAGCTTAAACAAATTATCTTATTATTTAGTCTTATAATTAGTTATGTATATAAATTATTTATTAAATTATTCACATTTAAAAGATAAATTACATAAATTATGATGAAGAAAATTAAATTCTGCATATTTAAGATAAATAATTTGAATTAGAAATGATGAATAAGATAAATAATTTTTACACAGTTGGGTTGTTACAGAAGCTAATCATAATTTAATGTGATTCACTAAGTTCAACTTTTATAAAAAGATTTATATTCTTATTATAAAGAATACGAAAAGATATTATGAATTAAATCACGAGTGGTTTAAATCAATTACAATTGATACCTTGAGAATGATTTATTAAACAATTTATTAGATCACAAGGAGACAAGAGCCACTTAAATCCTAAGCTCCCTAATAAATATATTTTCAAGGCTGAGATTTTTCATATGAGAAATTGTGGAAAGTTTCACAAGAAAATTTAGCTATTAGAGTACTACACTGTACACTGGACATGCACTTGTACAGACTACAGAATGCTTACGTTTAGACAGACAAAGCATATACAGTCATCAACCATAATTCATTTAGTGGATGGAAAAGCCTTTCATATTTTAATTTGATTGGAACCGACTCATAATTTAACTTGACAAAAAGTTTTAAATTCTGCTCAAATTGATGAGAGTTACTCTGGGCCAATCGGGGTTTTTCATATGTGTATATCTTCAAGACCCTTTTTGGTTATCCGAAATTCCAATTTAGTGAAAGAAAATTTAATGTTGGTGGTTAACAATATTGAATACCACACGTAACAGATAAAAAATCAGACTGATAACTGATTGATTTAATGTGGTGCCAAATTAAATGACATATACCAAGTGGAGTATCATTGAAGGGCTATGGTTTTTGCACTTCAATTGCCCTACACCCTCAGGCAGAGGGAGCTCAATCCACCATAGCTCCTGCTAAACATCCCATGACTTTGAGGTTCATATTGCTTGATTCTTAGCAGAACAGACCCCACAGATCAATTAAAACTTGTCCAAGTCCTTCTTCTTCTTCATAAATGATGATCAATCAACAATACCATCTCACAAAGATACCGTTCTTCATAAATGAACAACATGATGTCTATTTGTCATGTATTATATATATTGCATTATATCAGTCAAAAAACTGTTATTCCTAGCAGCTGAATAGTGAATATTCCAGAGATTTTAAAATGAACACTTTTGAGTTTAAGATCTGTTCCTGTGGGCATATAAGTGAAATCATAATTCTGTAAGTTGTAAATGCAAGAATAGAAGAATACATTTTATTAACAAGCTTTAATTTTCTTCTTCTTCTGTTTTGGACAATTGGCAAGTGCACCAGTTGTCGAGAAAGCATTTCGGAACTGATGCTATTCTCCGCCAACTAACACAAAATATGGTAGAAAAGTATAAAGATCACAGCGGTGACAGATACTATCTGTAATAATTCACTTACTGAAATCAAGATATATAGGAATATTTTTACAAGATATTAAGTCCAATATTGCATCAGAACGTGACGCTAGCAAGCTTCTCTTTGAGTATTGGTGGAATATTGGTGTAAAAATGGAGCTAAACTATTCGGCATCAAATTGCCATAAAACATTGGCTTATTTTAGCAAAGGTTGTAAATAACGTTATTTAACTATTAACTATCTAACTAATGTTTAAGTAAAGTATCTTCTTTATTCGCCATGGAAGATCACTAAAAACTTCTTTAATCAATTCTCTAGTTTTTTCATAGCACATCCTGAAACTTCATATTATAAAAGGGTTTGACAAAATCTGAAAGGGCTTCGGTCCCACAAATTATAAAAACTCTTATAATCGACAAAGCCATCACTAACTTGGACGATTCTCCATCTATATAAACTCCGTTGTTAAACTTGGATCTTTCAGTCTTCAATAATCTTCAACAGGGTTGTCCTTTAGGAGAGCCACGTACCTCTTCTCTCCTTCATAACCTGTTTCCTTCAATATCCAGACTCCAGTCATGCTTATAGTAAAATAAATCAAAATTTTCAACACAATACCACTTTTGCCTTTTATTACATACTAATGGCAACAACGTACCACGCTGAATCGGTATGGGGGGTGCGCTTGGGCTCGGCGCTAAGGACAATTCTAGCGTGCACCATCGTAGGCTGCTCGACGCTTTATGGCCCCGAACCTCTCAGGCGCGTATCGTCATTTCCAGCTTTTTCTTATGTGACAACAATATTGATTGTGTCGGATGCTACACTTGGTGACACTCTCAAAGGATGCTGGAATGCGTTGCTCGCCACCGTGCAAGTTATGATTCTTTCAATATTGTGCTTGCAGCTGATTGGACCTGGGAGGTTCAACAATGGCCTGGCGGCAGCAGTGGCGGCGGTTACTGCCTTCATGGTTGCGTTGCCGGAGTCCACTCATTTGATGGCGAAGCGGATTGCATTCGGGCAGATTGTGATTGTTTGTGTAGGTACAGTTATTCATGGGGCAGAAACTGGAGTTGTGATGCACCCTATTCATGTGGCATCGAGTACTGCTCTTGGAGCCTTTGCATCTGTTTTGGCGATGATGGTTCCTTATCCCAACCTAGCTTACTATGAGGTAAATCACCATGAATGATAGCTTTAATTCTTGAATTATTTAAATTTCTTTCAGATTCTTTTGGTTGAATTTCGTGCATAATATTGTTTGATTCTTAGTATGAGTAACCGACAATACTACATCACCAGACTAGCTATAGAATCTTTTAATGACTAAATAAGCCAAGAAAATTGGAAATGAAACTTGTTGCTACATTGAATTTGATGCTATATAGGTCTTTCGAGGCTGTTTTTTCATAATTTTTAATAAACTTGGATATGTTTGATGAGATTAGCATAATTATCGAGGCTCCATAATAGTTTTTGAAAAGTATTGGCTCTGTTTGATTCACTCTTCCAAATAGTATTTTACGTTTTCTCAATAAAGTTAAACAGTAAAATTGGCTTATTCTCAAAATATTATTCTATATTATTGAATCTCTTTTAAACCCCCCTAAATTTTTTAATTTAACTAAACACCCCCAAATTATTTTTGTTTAGAAATTGCAAAAACACCCCAGCAACCTACATTTACCAGATTCTGGCCACCACTGCTGGAAGCTGGCCGGAATTTAGTCTAATGGCGCACTACCAGCTAAATCTGGTGCGCCGATCTAGTCTTTTTCCGGCTAGATCTATGGCCAAAGATCTGACCGTCTGGCCATCAACGACCAGATCTTTGGCTATAGCCAATCACAAACGATGGTCGTATCTTTGGCTGTCGTTGACGACCAAATGCGGCTAGATCTAGCCGTCAATGGCTAGAAAAGGCCATATCGGCGCACAACAGGCAAAATCCACCAGGTCATGTGCCGATACGGCGACTTTGACCACTCTCTGGTAGTGGTGGCCGGCTATCTATATTTAATGGGTAGGTTGAGGGTGTTTTTGTTAACTTTTAATATTTTATTATAGGGGTGTTTAGTAAGTAAACAAACATAGAGGGTATTTTTGTTAATTTCCAAATCCTACATCGTAATACCCATCCAATTTAACTTTTTTCAAAATATTATTCTAAAAAGTATCAAAATAATGAACCAAACGGACCCTCTATTTTGCATGTTATATATATCTTACCTTTTTTTATAAAGTAAACGACTTTTTCCCACCCAAGGTTTGCCATAATGACACTTTCTCACAAAAAAAATTTTAAAATACTATTTTTCCATTTAAAGTTTATATTCCGTTAAAGACTCAAAATGCATATCACTTTCTTAGCCGTTCGGAGTCAAGGCAAGAAAGGTTTTGTAAAGTGGAGATTGGTGGATCGAATAGTAGTGAACGATTGAACATTCGTTGTCGGAATCAATTGAAAAAAAAAATGATATTTTGAAATTTTTTGGATGAGAAAGGTCATTAAGGCAAATCTTGAGTGGAAAAAAGTCGTTACTCTCTTTTTTTTTTTTTTTTTTTTTTTTTAATAAGAGAAAGTTTGTCGTACACGAGCGTAATATATACCATAAGTTGATGTAGATCGATTAGAAGTCATTATATTGCTAACCCTTATCAACGTGCTACCATATCACATTTCACACTGATGAGCATGAAAAGTAATGCATTCAAATTAACATTTGGTATATATACCAAACAGGCATCTTTTAATAGGTCACCTCTAAAATTGACTCTAGGAAAAATCTTTTCTCTTTATTGAACTATGCCAATCAAAAAACCTTTATCCAAATAGGTAAAATCTGAATAAAGTAATGTTACATGTACAAACAATTATTACAAAAATTTATGTACAAACTAATATGGTAGAAAATGAATAGAAAAGTGAGAACAAAAAATCAAACTCATCATATTAACTCTTTCATTCATTTTCTGTCACATCAATTAATAATGTGACAAGTAATATGACAAAAGTACTAGATTAGGTATTGATATGGACTAAGAATAAGAGGAGATAACATGTTTTTGAATAAATACCATGTTGAGTATATATATTTGGATCAATTGCATTTGTGCAAGTAAAATGCTACTATTCTTGAGCTTTAGGATTGTTGGAGGACACGAAGAATAAATCTGAATCGTAAACCCAGTATCTAATATTAATTCTTAAAAATGCCTTTAGCATCCACTTTCTGGCCCACTCCCAATATGCTTCCAATTTTTTCAATAGGATGTATTAAACCTGTAATTCTGATTCATTAAATGTTTTTATGAATGTCAATTTAAGTAACTTAAAAGTGTTATTGTGCAGATTAAGAAAACATGCAGATTATATGCTGAAAATGCCTCAGAGAGGTTGAATCTCTTGGTCAAGGCGTTCTGTGCAAACGATAACACAGCGGCATTCGACTTCATTTTAGAAGCCAAATCTCTCTTCATTGCAGGGGCCAAACTGCTTTTGAGTATCAAACAAAAACAGGTTAGTGGAAATGAACTCTCAATTTAAAGGCATTTCCTCTTCAAATTTACATGGTAAAATTAGCTAAAAGAATTATTTTCCTTGATTTTCACAGGATGCCATGTTGTGGGAGAGACCTCAATTCAGGTTCTTCAAACCCGACTGCTTAAGCCCAAGTGAAAAATTGCAAGAACTGGAAATATCAATTAGAGGAATGGAACTGTCCCTTAATTCTTGCCGTTCCTTGCCTGTTGGCATGATTGATGAAGAGCTAAGAGATGTTTTAGAAACTTCGAAAGCACGAGTTGGCCTTAAACTAGAACAAGCTAAATGTTATGCGTCCTTTGATGCAACAACAGTTCCAGAGATCAAGAATGAATGCACAGACAAATCCCTGTCGACACTCGCAACCATTTCCTCAACCGAAGATGCTCCAGCTTCCTTCTTCTTTTACTGTATGGAACTTCTTCAAGCTGGTTTTCCCATTTCTAGAAATTCTGAGTGCGTTGTCAAGGAAAAAAAGAAAACTAAAATGGAAGAATTGAGTAGTTCGCAGAGTCAAGGAAAAAGTATGAATTTACTCGAAAGGGGTCTGCTCATATTACCAAGTAGTGAAAGCTTCATTTTTGCTCTTAAGTGCTCGATTTCTCTTGGTCTTGCTGTGCTCTTCGGTTTGATTTATAACAGAGAGAATGGTTACTGGTCAGGACTGACGATTGCAATCAGTTTTGCAAGAAACCGTCAAGCAACATTTACAGTTGCGAATGCTCGAGCACAAGGGACAGCTATGGGGTCAGTCTACGGAATCTTGTGTTGCTTTATGTTCAAAAAATTTGAGAATTTGAGGTTCTTACTGCTGCTCCCATGGATCATTTTCACAAGTTTCTTAAGGCACAGCCGAATGTATGGTGAAGCTGGTAGTATTTCAGCTGTTATAGGAGCATTATTGATTTTGGGTAGAAAAAATTATGGCACCCCAACTGAGTTTGCAATTACTCGAATCACAGAAGCCACTATCGGATTGATCTGTTTCATCATGGTTGAGATCCTCTGTCAGCCCGCCAGGGCAGCAACTCTCGCGAGAATTCAACTTGCACAGAGCTTGGAGGCGCTTGAAGAAGGCATTAAGGACATAACTCTTTGTGCTGACCAAAAGAAGTCAACTAAGTCAAGAGCACTGGGAGACAAACAGAATAAACTGAAATCACATGCTCTGAAATTAGAGAACTTCATTGCAGAAGCCGAGAAGGAGCCTAACTTCTGGTTCTTGCCTTTTAATGCTACTTGCTACCGGAAGCTCTTGGGATCTTTATCAACGATGGCAGACCTCTTACTCTTCGTCGCTTACAAAATTGAATCGCTCTCTCAAGCATCGGAGAGGCATGGGGTTGCCTGGGAGGAGTTCCATGAACAAATAAACGAAGAACTGGAGCTTTTCAAGGAAAAAGTTGGGTATTCAATGAAATGCTTTGAGAAGGTGATCTCAATCAAGTCCCTCGCAGTACTTGAGAAAGAGCTACAAAAGAGAAACATATCTTACGACGTTGAGTTGGGAAGATTACCAAATGAGGATGTGCATAGGAGTGTGAGTCCTAATGAAGAAGATGTCCTGGAGATTTTAAGCTTCTTTCTTCAACTTTCGAATGAAGTTGCTAACAAAATCAACACTGACGAAGGAGATGAAAAGCTTAAGAGCCAAATAGTTGTTTGTCTGAATGGCCTTGGGTTCTGCATCAGTAGTCTGACGAGGGAAACGATAGAACTGGAGAAAGAACTCAAAGAACTGCTAAAATGGGAGAATCCGACTAGGAATATTAATTTGTATGAAATTTCCTGTAAGCTTAATGCTCTGTACAAAAAGTAATCTTGATACATTGTCTCCCAAGTGACATAGGTGAGATCAATGAGAACCATTATTTAACCTTAAAACAGATGAGGTCTAATTTATAAAAGCCTGAGTTAATTATTACCAGAATATTTTTCTCCACTCCTAGCCTAACTTACATTACCAGACTCTTCTATAGGGTGAATTGTGTTTTGTTCAAACACTCACAAGTCCAATGTCAAAAACTTTTTTCTAAACATTGGCATGTAGCAGTGTCTTCAGACATTCTCTCTCGATGGACTGCGCCAAACTTGTACTAGAATGTCTATGTTTAGGATGATACGTTTCCCAAAAATATTCCAAATTTCTCATCCGAAGTGATGTGGCGTCAATGTATCATACACCATATCAACTCTTCATTTATACATAAATGTTGTATAAGACAATACATCACTTAGGATAAAAAATTTAAGATATCATATGGGAAGTGTAATATTACTTGTTTGGGATTGTGGAGGTAGCCACCTACCCACATCAACGCACTAAAGCATACAGACACACCCATGTTTCGTCCAGCATAGCTGCTGCCTCAATAGAATTGTCCGTTTAAATACAATATGGCAAATACTAAGGAAATAGCCATGAGAAACAATATACTTAGAACAAAAATAAAGAGGTGAATATATATAATATGCCTACAAAATCCAAGCAATAAGATGCATTAAGCTCCAAGCTTGTTTATAATTACATCAAGTTATCTCTCTGTCAAACCACCCAGTCTTATAAAACTAAGATGTTTTTCATTGCAGCAAATGGAATCAGAATACCAAATTCCTCAGTTGCCTTCATATTTAGGGTCAGCCATCACGTAATGATACGCTATAACCAGTACAAAAATGAAGATGCCAAGAAAGTTGGCTATGAAGCCCAAGACCATGTCATCAATCATCTACAAAACACAAGCACAAATTGGTAATAGATTAGTACCAAGTTTCAAAGTACCAAAAATTAATCTATCTCTCTAAATAGAAATTCCAAGAGTAAATTACAAATAGTATTAAAACTATCAGTTCCAGCAATAACGTCATATTCAAGGTTTAAACAGACTTAAATCTACATTTGGTCACAAAGACGGGATGTTGATCAAAGCGACAATCAAAGTTCATAGTGACAAATACAATATATGAGATAACCTGTGCTGGGAAATAAATGAAACTAACAGATGGGAAGTTAAATTTCTTTCCTCTTTATGTGATCAAAAATAAAATATGTACCAACCAATTCAAACAATTGGCAATGTCAACAAATATTAAAGATAACAAGACAAGCCAAAATCAAACAACTACAAACGGGTCACAAAATTTACATAGAAACCCCAGAACACAAAAATCCATGAAAACTGAAAGTCTGTTATCAAAATCTCCACAATCAAATAATAATAAATTACATCTCTCTAATTTAATGTTAGAGACTCATCAATCAATAATTAAACATCAAGAGAGTAATACTCTAAATTCACAACACAATAGCATTATCAATAAAGTGGTATAGATCAAATGTGACATAAAGTTTTATGTCTCCAACAATAGACTCAGCAAATACCATTTTGAAGAATTTAACTAATAAATCAAGACTATCATAAGTGTAAAGCATGATACCAGGAATTACGATTTCATATTTGAGGCAAAGCAAAGTCAATTTGGCTATGCGATGTCAAGTTAAAATTAAAATTCTAAGCTCCAATTTGTTTTATCTCATTATTGTTTCTTTTAATAGTACTAGTTTAATGGTTGGATACTCATACACTAATTAGAATGACAACCAAATGAAGCTCCATCTTTATGATGAAACCCTCGTCTAAATAACTGAGTAATTTTCATAGTATATGAGAAAATGAGGACTATATCCTTAAAAAACATAACAATGTCCTACAGAAAAACCAAATAGGAAACTACAGCAATGAAATACATGGTTCATTTTAAAAGCAGCTTAAATGAGAAAAAATACAATTAAAAAAAAACCATAGATAACTCATAGAAGAAGTTACATGAATGCCGACCTTCTACCCTTTCCGAGGAGTTGATGACTATTCATAGTCACTACCTTGACACCAAAAAGAGGTTCGGAAAAAAGAAATGGAAGAACAAAAAATCAAAATTCATTGGACGATTGTATCATTAACTATTTCTTTATTTCAGTGAGTCTAACAGGAAGCATATGCTCTAGATCTGAATTCAAAGGTAAACGAAACGAAGTCAATTAACTCTAACACTACTCATATCGAAATCTAAATCAATTGAAATAGCAAATGACTCCGCGTAGAAAGGACACAAGCATTGTGATGAAACAGATTAAACAATTTAACATTATAGAGAATAGCAAGTGAAAGTTAAGGATCTTACTCTGATAGACTATGAGATCGAAGAAGATCACGAACCCTTTTTCTCAAAAAGGAGGCACTGTGTGATTAAACAAAGATTTAGGGTTTTATAGATGAGGAAATATGTTTTTGAAGGAAATTATTTGATGAGCGCAAGCAGACTGCAGATGCTACTAGAAAGTTGTCGTTTGAAAAGTGTATAAAACGACGCCGTTTGAAAAAGTTCAAAATGAAATGAGGCAGGCAGACCGCAGACGCTACTAGAACATGCCGTTTATCGTTAGCACAGTGGGCAAACGACACTGTTAGTCTGTTAGTGAAAGAAACGTACCGTTTAGGTTGAAATAAACAAAAATAATGTGGCTGCTGGGATTCGAGCCCAGGTCTCTACGGCCACAACGTAGAATTCTTACCACTAAACTACAGCCACAACGATGACAAGTTTTTCCTTGTATATTACTTGTTATATTAATATACAAATTTCTTGGATTTTCCTTTAACCCCTTAATAAATAGTTGAAAATAAATTAACCTATAATTTTTTAAAAGTATTGTATAACCCCTGAATTATGAGTTATCCCGTCAAAAAATTCTCTCATATGGAGGTATACAGCACTTTTCAAAAATCAAGGGTGCATTCATTTCCCTATCTTTCAAGGGGTTGAAATAATAACCTCAAATTTCTTAGTTTGATGTTTGTCACGAAGCTATGATCTTAGTACAATTATGATTTATCGAACTAATATAATATTTCTTCTACCCTATTAACTTTTTTTTAATCAAATGTGAAAGTTCATAAACTCTATACGCATATAATGATCAAATATAACAATTAAAAATGGAGAAGATAAATGCATGAATATTTTATTTATTGATTTTTTTATATCTTGTAGTTTCTTTTCAAATCAAAGTAATGATTACTCTTTGAATTTCAGAGATAACAGTTTTAAATATATATCACACGAAACAATGTTCAATATACTAACCTAAAGTATGTTCTTCGAAAAAAAAAAAAAAAAATTCTAACTCATAAAATTAATATACTCATTTCTCATAAATTTAGTCATATATAATGTTTGTTCAATAAAGCCCCGTAAATTTGTTAGTGATAAACATGCTCTTTTTAGTACCATTATCATTATTATTTTTTTTTTAATCACGAGGGGTGTTTGGGCTAGTTTGTACGTACCGTAACTAATCTTTCGAGACTTTAGAACTGTCGATCGGGTAAGAATCTTAGTAGCCACTACTATTAGTGTCTAGAAGGACTCGAACTCAAAAGTTTATGGAACCTCATTTTGTTCTTTTATCATCAGACCACCTAGTGGTAGTTCTTACCATTGAAATTAATTCACACTGTCTACTATCTCTATTGACAATATTAACCCCTATTGTCACAACAATAATTTAATTGTTTTTCACATCATTTTTGTCTTCGTTGTTTTTGTTTTTCACATCATTTTTGTCTTTGTTGTTTTTGTTATTTTACAATACAACTACCACGTTTGACAGTGCAAGCAAACTCCCATCTCAGTACTTTGTAATTTCAATATGTTAATTATCTCAAAACTAATATTTCAAGTAGATAAAACAGAAACTCTAAGATAGTGAATACAAAATGAATATTTCACTTAGATGCATAGTTTCAATTATATAATGCTCAATTATAATGGAAGTCATTTAGATAAAATCTTGCATAAATTTATCTTTATGTATTGAAGTATCTTTGAAGTTCTTTTTACAAAACTTTATTTGGACTTCTCAAGTATTCAATAATATTATTTCAATTTCAAGAATATCCTAAACCTGTCTACAGGCTACAGCCACCATTATTACTAAACTTTCAATCAAGGTTTTAAAATCCGACCCAAGGTGAAACCCGACAAAGTGGCTTGATCTTGGGTTGATCAGTTGAACCAGTTTGACAGGCAAGTCAAGCCAGTGAGTCAACATGTCAATAGGTTTGAAATTCAACAAAAACAGCCCTGAAAATTACACATAAGTTCCTAAAGGTTTGAAATCCTGTAAAAACACCCCAAATTACAATGTTGAGTTGTCGACGTCGTCAACCCAAACCAAATAGGGCCTGTTTTTGGCATCAACAACACACCCTATGACCACAAAAACTCTCCCCTCAACCTCCTAACCAAAACCCATCTCACCCACCCTCATTCGCCTTGCCAATCATCGGCAATAGCCCGCTATTGTCATTGATCATTTTTGTGATTTCTAGTCGTTTCTCTCACAAAAAAACACCCCCATTGCCACCTTTCAACTCACTCGCCCTTCCTCTTCAAAACCCCTAACATCTCAACCACCAATTGTTTGCCAATCGGCATCCTAATCTCTAGGGATTACCATGAACAGTAAAATTGGTAACCCGCCTCGATGAAGACCTCGGGTCCCGATTGAATCGGTTCAACTAGCCAGGACAGGCCGGGTTTAAAGACATTGCTTTCGATTCAATCATTTGTCATAGATCTACCTAATACACTGTTAAGTAATGCATCTTTTTCACCTTCTCTTACCATTGAAAAAACTACGGATGAGCGGTTCCGAGTATCCTACGATTTTTGGGGGATCGAAACTGGAACAGTCGGTCCCAGGAAAAGGAACCGGAACTGAGAGGTTTCGGTTCTTTGATTCTTGGACTGGAACTTGTAATGCAGGTTCCGGTTTCTAACCCGGGTACCTTGTAAACAATCAATTACCCCCTATTAGTTTAAAAAATGACAAGCACACCTTAGA